GGTCCTTGGCAGTCTCAGAATATTCGTCAGGACCGGCCGCCTACAAGCTGCCCCATAACAGCCAAAAAGAAAAAGACGAAACGATACTTCTAAATTACAAATGACTTAACGTAAACAATTTTTGCAACAGTTAATGATAGATCAAGCTAAGTGGACAGAGTGCATAAAACTGTATTATTAGAGCTTTTTTTTGTATCAAGACTTATTGAACCTACGTGTTTTTATGACATCATGAATAAAATTTGTGATATTACTCTTTGAAGTTAGGATGTTTGACGTGTGGTATCGAGGACTGCGTATGTTATTGCGAAACTGCTTCAACTGTGTCTTTAATGAACATAGTTAGTTGTCAGTTAACACAAATATCATACTTTTCATCACGATGTGCATTATAATATAGATTTCATGCATACATATTCCATATAAACACACCTAACATATCTTTCTATACGTAAAAACTTCATGCGTATTTTATAGTGATTAATAATGCTAAATTTTATAGTGTCGGAGACTTTCCAAACTTTGTCAGACGTCTGACGTCACCATTAGATATAAAGATCTCATATTCAAAAACTAATTTCCATTTTTGTGGGCTCATTTTCAAATAAAGAAAACATTTGCAGCACTAATTACGTTACTACGAACCGAATACGCATGTAGTAGCGAGAGCAAATACGCAACTCAGCTTGATTTAAATCAAGCAGCAAAGCTAGAAAACAACAACTGGGTAGCAACTTTAAATCACTAACATTAAGACAAGTTTTAAAATCGCATATCTTATTAATTTTTTGTCTTTCTAACTGCATTATAACGTTGCCAACCTTTATGATGCCTTACATACTACTATCCTGTCAACACGAATAGCTAAAAAACAGCTATTTTCATTGTATATTATGTGAATAAATGTTGATTAAGGTCAAGTGCTTTAATGACACATTCGTGTCTTTAATAAACACGTGACGTAAGACAAAAAATTTCACTCTTTCAACACTCTCACACATGTTCTTGAGCCGGAACTGTTGCATTGTGCCTGACGCCAACTCCTGAGGGAGTGACAGAATGTGTACTAGGTGATCTGAAAACTCTACTAGTGAACACAGGGACTAACATACAGATAGACTGTTCTCTGGAATTCTGAGTGTTTGGTTATGAATAACACTTAATTCCAGGTGTAAACTGAATAACTATTTTTGTATACATATTTTTAGTTTTTGAAGTGTCGCAATTCAGTTCCAACTTCAAGTACTAGAGGAGTGCTCCGATTAATGGAATCTTCTAGTTATGAATTTGGATAATTTATTTACCGTGTTTTTCTATGACGAAGATTTCATTGCATTCTTATACAACTTAAATAACTTTACTCTTGTTTAAACGCCAAACCTTTAGAGAATAAACGGAATAAAATATGCAAAGTGTTTAAAATGTTAAAAGAAATGAGAAAACACGTTTATGAATTGGATGACATTTAAAAGCAATTGCAGAAAACAAGCTTCTTTTTTCAAATCTTAAATGTGATAGATTTTATTGAGTATTTAGAGTTGATTTTTATAAAATGTTACATTATTTTCCAGGCGGCAGCTAGAGACGAGATACTTGCTTGTGGAGGAAGTGTCTCTCATCACCACGGAAGTAAGTACAGAAGTGTTATTTAAATCCGACTGTTTAGACAATTAGAAGTTTGCTACGATTAACAAAACAAAAACACTTAAACAATGTGAAAAAATACGTTTCAAGCCTTCATAATTTTATGGTTGCAGTCCAGTTTGTGCGTGAAAACAAATCGATTTAATGGTGATCACAATTTAATAAAGCAAATGTAACTACTTGACGTTTCAAATTATAACGTGACATATCTCCAACAATTTCGTATAAGTAATCATTTTATCTTAGTAAATCATGAAGGACAGACATCAATAGTGATATTTATAAACAAACGACACTCAAATATACAATTTGCTCACGAATTCTAATGATTTGTCGTCACTTGTTTAATACGAGGAGACTTTTACTGATATTTAACGCTTTGTGTTAGTTTTAAGTTTTATTTGTTTATTCTATAAGTGTAATTTCGTTTACTGACAGAACTTACCAAATCCACTCAAGTATAAGATTACTAATACTAAAATAAACGAAATAATTTCTCCCTGAGCTTACAAGAAAATTTTACGTAAACCATTAAAACACAAACTTAAAGCTTAGCCACCAAATAGTTTCGTTTTGAGTTTACTTACTGATTAAGTTTATTTTATTACAATATACAGCTTTTATAGTAAGTAAGATTTGTTTTTAGAACAGGTACGACGTTTTGATCATTGATGCGATCATTCTCAAGTACACAAGTTTTACTTACTGTAAAAGCTGTAAATTGTAATAAAATAAACCACAAAATTTTTGGTTTGATTTCAATTTCGCGCAAATCTACACGAGGGTAATCTGCGCTAGCCGTCCCTAATTTACCGGTGAAAGACTAGAGAGAAGGCAGCTAGTCATCACCGCCCACCGCCAACTCTTTTACCAACGAATAGTGGGACTGACTGTAAACTTATAACGTCCCCACGCTGAAAGGGGGCGAGCATGTTTGGTGGGTCAAGGATTCCAACCCGCGACTCTCAGATTATGAGCGCCCTAACCACCTGGTCTTGCATTCGAAAACGCAACGCTGGCTTGCGTATTAGACAACGGAGCGTAAAACTACAAATATATTGTTAAAATATAAACTCTTTCGTCAAATTCAGCCATATATTAAAGTTAAGAAGTGCTCAAAAGAACTGACAATTATACAAACTACTATAACATGCCGCCCAAAGCTCGAGAAAGAATATTCGTATTTTCTGAGATCTATATACAGAGAGATTAGAAAAATGTAATAAAATTATAAGCATTGTTATTTGGGATATGAATTACATTATTTTTCCATCCATTGTTCACACTCAGTAAAACGTAAACATTTATCGATAAAAATAAGTTTATACGGTTATTTTAACGAAGCGGCAAACACTTGTTTTTTTAGTCCACCCCTTTTTTTAATGTTTTTTTTTTTCGTCTATTATCGAACTATGAACTGGTTCTATAAATTATCACCCCATTTCGTCCTCGTTACGCCATTGTTTATCTGTATATTTATGTGGTGAGCTATTGTCATTAACAGTAGACAAGTTATAATTATAATTTATTATGTAATTGATAAAGACATTTAATGTTATTTTTGTTCTTGATTTTCAAAGTTAATTTTAAATCCAGGTTTAAAGAAAATGCAATTCAACGTGTGCCATACACTGATACTTAAAAAACTAAAAAAAAAACGACTTTGAAATACTAACCTTGTGCACGTGAGAAGTATACAGATACACAGTATACCATAAATTGGCAAAAATAAGTACCAACTTTCCGCACATATCAATGACTAACAGTTTCAGTTTGTAAGGATGATTTCAAATTTTCAACACTTGTCCCCCCCGTTCACATACAAAAACGCTAACCATTTCACGACTCTTTTTAAAGTTTTTAAAATTTCTGAAACCAGACCAGTGTGATTTAGATAAAGAACTCCTACTATACAATAAATACTAACTTATCTTTCGATTGATTACGTCTTTTCTGTTAAAACCGCTTTAATTTCGTTTAGCACTGTTTCAACTCTTTTTTTTTTACTTCTTCCTTTAATATGTAATTACATCTATACTTGTGTTAGAAGCTAGCTGCTTCAGGTGTATTAGATCTTATTTTGTGATGTTGTTTTTTACTTCTTCCTCTAACATGGAAAAGGCACGGCATGGCCATGTGGTTAGAGTGCTCGACTCGCAATCTGCAGGTCGCGGGTTCGAATCACCATTCCACAAAACATGCTCGCCCTTTCAGCCGTGGGGATATTATAATGTGACGGTCAATTTCACTATTCGTTGGTAAAAGAGTAGCCCAAGAGTTGGCGGTGGGTGGTGACGACTAGCTGCCTTCCCTCTAGTCTTTCATTGCTAAATTAGGGACTGCTAGCGCATATATCCCTCATGTAGCTTTGCGCGAAATTCATAACAAACAAACCAAACTAACATGTAATTACATGTATACTCGTGTTAGAAGCTAGCTACTTCAGGTGTACTGGATTTTGTTTTGTACGCTGTTTCAACTCCTTCTTCTGATATTTAATTATGTAATTACATGTTTTTTTAATCGTGTTATAAGTTAGGTGCTACAGAAATATATTCATTTATGTTGGTTTTATAGCTAATTATTTAAAACTGATTACATTGAAGTTAAAAACGTTTAGTCACTTTCACCGAAACTGGTATCTTCCTCATTAAATTATATTAAATAAATATTGTTAAGACCTCTTGATATATCACGTAATTTTATAATCATGATATAACACCCTTGTAATTTCTTTGTATTATTCGTAAGTTAATCAAAGTTTTAAAATATACGGACTTGCGATGCTGACTTATTATAAAACTCCCCTTGTCGTGTTCTTCTTAACTTGAGAACAAAACTTAGTAAAAATGTCTAATGTTTTAAACTGAAACATTCAAATATATACTAATTTATTGTGTATTATAATACTACTTACAGTTGGTAAGATCCGAAAGCGTTGGTTGAAACAGTCTGTGTCCGGTGTTGGTCTTGGAATGATGAGGGCGGTGAAAGAATACGTTGATCCAAATAATGTGTTTGCCAACGGAAACTTGATGATTTGATCTTTGACCATTTGATAAACAGCAAGAAAAATAACCATGACTATATTTTTCAATCTTCCATGTACACTACACCTTGATATATTTTACACTGTACGTCATCGGCAAATTTCCGTTTTTAATATCCTAGTTACTTGGTTGTGGTTAATATTATATATTTATTATTTACTCAAAACACTACAAGCTTTAGTATTATATTTTCATAAAAACGCTTGTTTGTGATATTACGTAATTTTGGTGTTCAAGAAGATAAATTATTTGGTAAAACTAGGTGAAATTATAATGCCAAATAATTTCCTTTAATTGCTCCTCAAAACATTATATTTTCTTATCAACATGTTTGAAAGTTTGTGTAATAAATATTTTTATAACTCATGCGTATACATATATAATGTGTAGCTAAATTTACTTCTCTACGACATTCATGTAAAAAACTTGTTAAATGAGAGTTAATCTTCTTTATAAATAACATATCATACTCAATACAGGTTCCAACAGGAGGTTAAATAGACGTGTAGACTCCTCTAGTATCCTACGAATGGCAACTGTGGTATTTGCATGCGCATGTTACCTTTAACACTGTTGTGCTATCCACCTTCCTGTTCCATACCGTTTGTATGAAATGACGCGATAAACTTCAAAATTATATTCATAATCACTCTGTATATCCAAAAAATTTTTGAATTCTCAATCCAGTTTACGTCATGTACTGAATTCACCTTGATGTGTTACTTTCCCAAGACTATCTGGTCAGGGAACTAATCTGCTGTTTTATGGAATTATTGTTTTGTTTTTTCCTTCACCTTGAGTTTGGAAGATACCTTGCGGCTGTCAAAGGGAGCAGAGAGATATTTTCTACATTCTTGTTCCCGCCTTCTTATCAGCAACTACAGAAAGAATATGTATTGTGAGTGCACTTTTGACACTTTATGATGAATTTACATGTGAGGAGAATTTTTTATTTATTTTTTAATCTGAGAGAATGAAGACATACTGCAAAAGTCATGTCACTGTTTTAATACATTCTCTATTCTACTAATCGTGTGCCCTTCATGTTAGTTTTCTTTGTAAATGCTAACACGCGGTTGCTTTGCTTTTCATTTTTATACATTTTATACCCTACTCGAAACTCTAAAAGCTATTTTTTCGCTTTTGTTTTATATAAGATATTTTATTTTGCCAGACTTCAACGCTGTACATAGTTGTTTCTTTAAACTCACATGTAATAAATTGCTACACTTGTCCTACCACACACCATATATAAGAACCTCTAGTTTTGTGGAAATCAAATATCTGTGTGTCACAATCAACCTTGAGAGTACACACTCCTTACTTCAAAGTGGATAGCAATTTTATCACGTACTACAGTTAATACTTAACATGAAGTATTGGACTGTCTGTGTATTCTTGGCATCCTACCTGAAATATTGAACTGATTGTGTTCTTGGCATTCATTCCGTCTGAAATATCGCATTTTATCGCTTTTTTTTTTCAATATCATGTTTTACAATCGTAATAAAGTGGGAAAAGTTTACTATTGCATTTTCTTCAGGTCTGACTAAGAAAACGTCGAAACTCTTTTCATGATACTAAATCTCCTCTTCATCTTAAGCATTTAAAAGATAACACAGTTGACTACTTTAATTTTGGATGCACACTACTAACGATTAGAATAACTTACAAACTTTGTAAAAGCAAATAAGCACAATTCCAATTTCAAGGTAATTTGTTAATGTTAGGGAATAGGGAAGTAATGTGCTTGTTTGTTTGTAATTAAGCACAAAGCTACATAATTGGCTATATGTGCTCTGCCCACCATGGGTTTCTAACGTTGTAACTCCGCTGTACCACTGGGGGCTATAGGGAAGACGGTCACCTTTGGTACAACGGCCATTCCTGCATATCATCAGTCATCTAGAATGGACGGGATAGAATGTGAATGACCAAACGGTGACTTAATTTTTTTATTTTCTTTTGATCATGTTTGATTTAAGGTAAGCTCGATATTTAAAAACATCACTTTTTTATTTCAAATAATGAAGAATTATAGACAGCCGAATGTGTCATAAAAGAAACGTGTTTAAGTTCACTAGTTTTTATAACATGCAATTGCTCAGAACACTTGCTTATGATTATCCCCCCTTGCAAGGCTGTCTTGCCCCACATCAATCATGAAAAGTTCCGCCCTAGATTCTGACCGCAATGTACACCACTGCCCCATAGTACTACCCATGCTAATTTGCGCCATTGTGCTACATAATGCGAAACCTGTGTATAGCACAAGACCTCTCCGATTCCTGTCACGAATATTTGAATGATGATTTAAGTGATTTAAATGCGGGTGACAAATGTAGTATTTATTTTGAACTATAGTTATTATGAATTAGATGTGGCCATTTTACTTCCTCAGCTCGTTTTAACCAATTTTATAGTTAAAATTGCCCCTAATCACAAGAAGTACTTTTTTTCAGTATCTGAAAAAAAAACGGTCTACGTCCAGTCTTTGTTTTGAATAGATGTGTCATTGATATTAAAACAAGATTCGTTGTAAAACCCTTTGAATTTTTATGAAATTTATCTTAATTGGGGAAAATCACATTCAAAGTTAAGAGGGGGGAGTGAATCTTTATACCTCTTCTTCCTATAGCATGAAAACATTCACACACAGAACTGAAAATAGGAATCAGTTTTTATTTACACATTTAAATTTACACGTTTGTAAACGTACGGATAAAAAATAACTCAAGTTACCTACTTCAAGGTAAGTAACCCTTTGAGTACAATCAAATATTTAAATGTTGCTGCACAAAGAGAGTCATTTGTGATTTTTGTGACAACACTTAATGAGTTCCCTTTTGACAAAACCCAAATGGGTTGTAAATATCCTAATCCTACAATTTTTAGAAATATTTTCTTTTATTTTAACATTACAACTCCTTTCGAAAACAAAGAGTCGGGAAAATACGTTTTGTTAAATGTTTTGATCTAGTACCTGAAAACAGTTGACACCAGTTGGAAAAGTGAATAAGTATGATTATGGTTCTGATGAATCCAGCTTGCATGATTTTCCCAAATACTGTTTGCAATCATAGGATATCATCCTTGAGTCAGATACCAAAGGTTAAACAGGTATAAAATGACAGTCTAAACCTTTCAACTACTATATGCGTTTAAAATCCACCCTATGTGTTCAATTGCTTCTCATTTCTATGTAAATGATGATGATGATGCTTTCCCCAAATATATCTTCTTTGAAGCGACATGAAACAAAAATAAAAAGATGATCCTACAAAGGTTTGGTTTGTTTTTAATTTCGAGCAAAGCTACACGAGGGCAGTCTGCGCTAGCCGTTCCTAATGTAAGACTAGAGGGAAGACTAGAAGTCATCACCACCCACCGCCAACTCTTGGCTACTCTTTTGCCAACGAATAGTGAGATTGACCGCCACATTATAACGCTCCCACGGCTGAAAGAGCAAGCAAGAGGATTCGAGCTCGCGACCCTCAGATTGTGAATCGAGCACCCTAGCCACCTGGCTATGGCGGGCCAATAATAGTTTTTCTTTCCTAAAAGTATGTTAAAAATCATTTTATATAAAAAGGTATTACAATACATGTCTTTAATCTTACATTACATATCTAATTAAAAAATAATTGGAATTTCTAAGATATGAGCTATAAAAAGACAAAACCGCTGTTATCCATTATAAAATGTCAATCACATACACACACCCTATTCATTTTGTTGTGAATCATGTGTCATATGAATGCATATGACTGGTTAGTCAATCTACGCTTATTGAAGTACTTTTGGTATAAATGGCTTTACGTCTTTACAGTGCATGACATTTCATTTCAGTTTGAAAAATGGTCATCAGGAACAGTGAGAGTAGGTGTTCCAATGTTGCATGCTTAAAAATCAGAGTTTTAATGAAACCTCATCAATCATTCCTCTGAAAAAAAAGGTATTCTCAGGACATCTTTAGAACCTGAAGTTTCTTGACCGCCCGTGCAGCCCACTCTAAATCGGCCATTCCCCTCTTGACAGTCCAGAAATCAATCTACAAAAGGGGCCCATTAAAATTTCTGTAGCATGTCCTATCAGATTTTGTTTGTTATTTTTATATGTCTAGGGGAACTTATCTAGACCTGGGGTACTATTATAATTTGGTGCTTACCTGTTGTATATGTTCTAAATGTTGGTTGAAGAATAATTTTAGTATGAAATATTTCTCATGTAATTATTAGAAAATTTTTGTTTTTTAGAGTATCTAGTTGTATTTGCTAAAACATTTTTTTTTAAAGTACAATAGTGCTTATTCGTTTCATTAATATTTAATCTTGTTTTTATGCTCCAGAATGAATATGTCTTTCATGGTAACATTAACATGAAACTCACTGTCACAGAATGTCCTTAGTCTAAAGAATAATAGACATTATCAAATAATGAAAGAGCATCATAATTTAATACTTTTATTAGAAATATTACTACCCACAAGATAACACCAGTAGTCTTTAATACATACTTTTACTCTATCTCATAATTGGAAAATACTAAAGGAAAATCAAGCTTTTTAAAACAATGTCCCATGCTGACTTTGATGCTACTTCCTCCATCATAAATCGTGTTCTGTCTGATTACGTTGGTTACGCATTATTATTTAAAATGGCTTTTGCGAAGGACGGTAAGATCAAACTTAGACCTACTCTTGGCAAATTTTCAATAGATCCTTAACCGCACAAGGACATTAGCTTCCAAGAAATATTAAGCAAACCAAAGTAAGCTTATAATTCTGAACCAAATTAATTACAGTTTATTAGAATTGTGAGCATAAGCGCTTGCAGTTATTAAAATGAACTGATTCGTTCGTGTGCCATTGCCACAAAAGCACGCTCCGCACTTTGAGGCTATACATGTATTATAAAAGTGGAAATCACAAACCAATATTTGGTCAGATGAGAGTAGCCCAAAATTTAGCGATGGTGCTGTTAACAAGTTGCACTCTCTCTCTAGTCTATCAGTTCAAAATAAATAAAAAATTAGGGATGGTGCTGTTAACAAGTTGCACTCTCTCTCTAGTCTATCAGTTCAATAAAAAAAAATTAGGGATGGCTAGGCCCAGATAACCCTTATGTAGCTTTGCGTGAAAATTTTGAAACAAAAAATATTTCAAACAAACTTTACTTATGGTGGAGATTTATTGATGAAATAATTCACTTTAAGTAGAGGAGATTTTACGTTTATTAAAGTAAATGGAAAAAACATAGTTCATTATGTTATTCGTAGGGTAACTATGATAGAAAATCTT